CCCCCCCTGTGTGGGAGATAATCTTGAGTTGTGCTGCCACGTGCACGCGCGCACACTTCCCCGCAGCCTTTAAGACGACAATAATCTCCCCACTGTCATTTTTAATACCTCTGCGAGGCCAACATTTAACGAACTGGGACAGAGTAATGATGGCCTGAAAATGCCGAGGTGGACTCTGGGATGCGGTGATGTATATGGAGAGTCATTTACGCGCTGTTTTGTTTTTTTCTTTTTAAAGTCAGGGACTGGAACATAAACAGTGGCAGTCTGCAGGGGCCAGTGGGATACTGGGGATGTCACACACTCCATCAAATATTCCTCATCATAGAAGCTGCAGAGAGAGAAGCACACGCAGACAAACACACACTCTTACGTGGGACAGACAGGTCGAGCTCAGTACACCTAATGTGGATTTAATGAAGGAGCTTTATGAACTGGAACGGAGTGCAGAGCATGACGGTGTAGGAAAAGGAGAGGGACTGTCTTTATATATGTACAGGTGATGTTCTCTTTCATTCTTGCTCTCAGTCATAAAAGCTTTTATTTTGCAGTGTACTTCCCATGGCACACATAAACACACGCAGGAGCTGTTTTCTATAAGGTCAATAAGGCACACCGCCCAGGGCTGCATGGTTTAAGGGCAGCAAAAGCCTTATTTTTCAAATAATAATAGTAATGGTATGATGGGAGAGTGGCAGCCTAGTGGTTAGAGTGTTGCGCTTGGAATCCCAAGGTTCTGAGTTTGAGCCCCACTCCCACAGGCTGCCAGTCTGGGTCCCTGAGCAAGTCCCTTAATCGTACTGCTCATCAATTCGTTGCTCTGTATATGTTACAGTTTAATGACAATAAAAGCTGGAAATAAAAAAAGGAAATGATGTTAATAAAAATAATGCTAAGATTTGTTTTTACTATAGTAGAAAATTAATTTGTAAATCAAATTAGATTTTGCAATTCAAGTCTGCTTACAGATGAGTGAATGGATTATCTTCAGCTTATTTAACAATATAATAAAGAGTATATGTTGAAGAAAAAATATATGTTTTTTTATGTCATGTTGAATCTAAAATTTTGTACTTTTCTTAGTCTTTATCTTTTTTTTTAACCAAATGAGAATCTCATGCATTAAAAAAACGGTCTATATACAATAATTGCTACTCTGGACACCCCAAAGTGTAGACAAAGGATGGAAATTAATATCCGATTATAATGTTTTCTGTTATTTTTCCTGTTTAAATGGTGGGCTTCTATTTTATAGGGAATCTAAACCACATTTTATCATCGTTATTTTAGACTCGTGAAACACAGAGCTGACCTGGAAAAGGTATTCTGGACAGAGGTTCTTTATGAAACCTTTATTTGTGTTTGTGAAAGAAAAACAAATCTGGTTCACAACCTTTTTAAAAATTTAGAATGGGAAAAGCACGGAAACCAAACTGCAAACCTTGACCAAATTATTCTTCGCTGGTTACAGATTTTTAAAACATCTTTAAATCAGTTTTAGGCCATTAAGAATGGCTAGTGGGGTAGAGCAGCGACTCGTACAGGGTAGCATTCATGCGAGGACCACCTCTGCACACACACACACACCCACATATAGGAGAAACAGGGATCGTCCCATTTATGTGTTCATTAGCTAGTTGACAGATTTACTGGTGGAAGACGGGACTTTAAGAGCTGACCTGTTGTCACATCTGCAGTGAGATAATCTGAGTCATGAGTGTTGTTGACACAGCCATCTCTACTCCCCCCTTCTCTGAACACACTCACACACAGAGAGCACCTGAGCACACACACACACACCCAGCTCCCTCCTGTTAAGCCACTTATTGTGCAGCCTCCTCATGAGAATAAAGTCTCCATCTATCTGCTGCATGACTTTAAAAAAGTTCGGTTCAAAGCTCCCACCCTGCGTTTCTGATCTGCTTCTCGTCACACTTGCAATTTCTTGTGCATCTCGTCTCTCCACGGCGGCATGCCTTTGTGACCCAGCTGCTTCCCGTGAAGCCCCCCCCTTCTCACCACCATCTCCTCTTCCTGACCTGCCAGTGTGCAGGACTGCTCAGCTCTCCCCTCAGCTTCAATATGTATGTGTGTGAGCATGTGTGAGTGCCAGCGGGGATGGGGGCAGCAGACTCAACCCCTCTTGTCTCCTAGCAACAGAGCGGTTTGTTGCGGGACAGGGTGGAGGGGGGGAGGCGCAGGGGATGGGAGAGCAAAGTCCTGCGGGACTAGAAAGCTGGGGAGAAGGAAAGGAAAGAGAAAGAAGGAGGGACAGAGTTCTGCTGTGCTGTTGGTGATTAGGGATGCTACCATGTATCGTTTGCTCCATAAAGTGTCATGCTGCTGGGGAGACTAAATATCTGTAATGCTGCTGTCCTCCTCTGAGATGTTTCAGCTACAGGCTCTTCCTGGTCCTCCTCACACACCACATTAAAAACACACACGCTGAAGCTTACTGAGGCTATAGGTGAATGCTAGCCTTCTCTATTCGCTTGTGTTTGGAAACAAGAAGCTCATTGATGCAGAACGGCAGAAGGGTTTTAACTCTAGATTAAATATTCAATTCAGCTTATTTATATAGCGCAAATTCACAACACATGTCACATATTACAGTTTTTCTTTAGATAATTTATATCAAATTCAACATATTTTTGTTTGTTTTTAAATTTCATGCATTTATTTAATTTATTTATGTGTTTAATTAGTTTAATTTAGGATATTGTCTCAACTCTGTTCCTTCTCCAATTAAAAAAATATTAGTTAATCTTGTTTGGGCTTTTTTTTTTTTTTTTTTCCCCCCTAATTGTCCTCTTTTTTGTAATTAGTTTTTTTTTCATTCACAATTCTTCTCTAATTTATTTCTTACTTTTCTCTCAGCTTTTGATTCAATATATTTAAAATAATCTCCTGTTTCCTGAGATTTCAAATGTTTTATGTCTTATTTCTTAATTTTATTCCATTTTGTATATTTTTTTTTGTTTTAATACTTTTAAATATATACATCTCAGATTTGGTTGTGTATCCTAAGTTGTTTCAGATTTTTTTTGTGTTTATTTTTCTACTACTTTATTGTGTTATTTCCATATTTTCTAGGCTTGTTTCTAACATAATTTTTAGTTTTGTTCTTTTCTATTTAATTTCATACTTTCCGATCTTTCTTTCTAGCTTTTTATTTCCTTCTTGGTTATTCCTTCAATCAGCCTAACCGTGTTTTTATAGGACAGGAATGGAAACAAAAACAAACAGTGACAATAATAAAGATCAAGTTTGGTCTCAAGCCTTTAGCCAATCCCAGTTTTTTGTTCCCACTACTCTGCAATAAAAGGTGTTTTACAATCTTTTCAAAAATGTCCTAAAGCTGCTTTTAATTATTGTTTCGACCACTAACTTGTTTTTAATGGTGCCACCATTTATTTATAAGGCAGCTTCGGCCGCATTTTATTTCTATAAGGAAAGTTGAGGCCAGATCTGAAAACATCTGGTTTCATGCAGTCATTCTTTATGGGTTTTAGTTCATTTTCTCACACTACGCAGAATATATTATCATCTTCCTTTACCAGACAAAAAAGATTTTCTAAGAATTTCGGAGAATGATTTTTTTTAATAAAGTAAATTTGCTAAAGCATGAAGATGCTGGTCTCAAGCTCTGACTCCAGCACCAGGGTTTGTTGTGTTGTGTATCGATTGAGGTCAGAGAAAATTCTCCCAGCTGAATATCCTGTGTGTATGGGGGATATTTGGTGGAGGGATGCAGCAGCAGCAGAAGCAGAAGCAGAAGTGGGGATGTGGTTGCAACGCACACCCTACAGTCGCATGAGATTATCCAAATCCAGCGTGAATGGACCTGACACCATTGTCCCAAGCAGCAGCAGCAGCTTCAGCAGTGGTGATGGCGGTGATGTCACGGGGGAAAAAGATGATAATACCTCCAAGAGCGATAGATTACAGCTGTGATGAAGAGGCAGAGGGTCACTATTATTTCATCTATTATCATTACATGGAGGCCCGTGCTGACAGGACAGAGGGGTGGGGCGTATGTGGGGGGGGAGAGGCAGGGAGAGTGAGGGCCGGATTAAAACAAACCCGCTCTGTGAGCTGGTTTTAGTTGTCATGGTAACGATCATTACCTCGCACTTGGGAGAGCAGGAGCAAGGAGGGAGGAGAGAACAGGAGGAGGGGGTGTAAGTGGAGGAAGAAGGGAAAAAAAGATGGGATAGGAGGTACGGGATGGAGACTCTGAGGATGCAAATGTGGAAAAAAAGGAGGAAGTGTTGTTGTTTTATGGCAAAGTTTCTGAAACCAGAACTGTTCCCTGACTTCCAACTGTGATCCAATCACTAGAAAAATGCCATTATTATCCTCAGAATTGCCTGGAAATTACAATTTTTAGGAGAATCAGGTGGTTTGCTGAGCTTAAAACTTCCCAGGACACTCTTTGTTTGAAAGATTTGTTAAATTGAAGCTGGAGAAGTGAGGTGTGCGCGTATGGACATCATAAGGGGACCAATAGTCGTTTTAGAGGAAAACACGCAGGAATGGAGAAGCTGGGAGCCCCATGTGGTGCTGTGGACGGAGCCTGTTGTCCTGGTGGTGTGTCACATGACCTTCTACCCAGCACACCTGCCCGGGAGAAATCAGTGGCAGTTTCTATGACGACAGGGTCAGCAGTACGGGAGGCAGGATGGCTGCCAGAGGTGGTGGTAGGAGGGACTGCTGGTCTCGAGCAGTGTCAGTGTTGTTATTTTTAAACATGGCAGGGATGAGGAGATGGTTGCAGACCCAGACGATGATGAGACTCTTCCAGTGGATGGAAAGGGGAAAAAAATGAATCTGAACTCTGCAGGAGGTTGGACACTTTATTCTGTCTGCAGCCACATGACCTATGACTCACATGCCTTTAAGATTCTCCATCTGTAGCTTCATATTAAACATCCTAGAGGATGATTTACACCGGCCTGAGGCCTAACTATAAACTGAACTTGTTTACTTTCTGTTCTCAGTGTTCAGATGGGAATTCGGCCCAGGACAACTCCTCCCTAAAGCGGGTTGCAGTTGTCGAGGACTTCTTTGACATCATCTATGCCATGCATGTGGAGATGGGTGCCGACCCAGGCCGAGCACCCAAGCATGCGGGACAGAAGAAAACCTACAAAGCGGTGAGTAAAATCCCCAACTAGATTGAAAAACAGACAAAAACCGACCGTGCGATCATGTTCTGCTTCCTTTTGTCCCATCTACAGTTCTTAGTATGAGCGGCCTGATGGAAAAACAGGACAGTAAGCACATCCTGCCCCAGTTGGCTGCAGGTGCAGAATTCAGAGAAAATAAGAAGCTGTTCATGCACAGAAAATATGCAAACTCTCAGTTTCATTCATTTTCCTGACCTACAAGGTTTACTCAATAACAGTTGCCAACTTACACAACCCAGTTGAGGTGGAAGTGCATTATTTACATTTAGTACTAAAATGGCATCTTAAAATAAAGTATTTTCTAAAAATAAATAAGCATTTGAAGATGAAATATCCAGGGATTAAGAGAGAAAATTAATTGAGGACTGCTTCCCTGTAAAGCAAACACACAGATGGGTGCACCGTACATCCTTCCCCATCACTCCCAGACCCTCCTATAATCAAACACACATACCCTAAGCTCCCTTATCAGATAAAGTCCACTTTTTCCTGCACAGACCTATGAAACAACAAGCAATTGAATTTCAGTAACACACAAGGCCAAAAATATATATTCCTGCTATCATGTATGTGGTACATGCATCCCCACTGCAGAGAAGTCACACATTAATAATCCTGGTTGGCCGTTTTACCTTTCTTCCTATCAGAAATGGTAGAGTTTGCATAAAGTGGTTGGTTTTAGGGACAAAGCTTACTTTTAAAGTCCTATTGCATCTGGCTTAGGTTGGGACATTTCCCCAACCTTAATGTTAGCGTGGTTGATCGATTCCTGCTAAAACACCAAGCTGTTTCCAAGGGCCAGTCATCCGACCCAAACAGTCTCCTTCTGCTGGAACAAAATGATAATAAATAAAAGCCCAAGAGCCTCAGAGCTTCAACTTACCGTAAACCAGAACTGGTTTGAAGAGGAGCTTTGTGCATCCACAGTCAATTGAGTTAGATTTTGCCTGGTCCCAAATATGGACACCTATAAGTTTGAAAGAAACTTGCTGCTGCGTAAACAGAGTTGCTAAATGTCTTATGGAGAATGAGTTGACAGCGACAAAGATCGAGAGGATATAGGATGAATATTTCAAACATGAGAACATTTCACCTGCTGAGTTTAGGGGTAGAGTTATGTTTAATAATCAAATGCATGATTAAACTTGGACGTAATGCAGGGGAAATGATCTTAAATACACATTAATTCTTGATATACTATTATTTAATCATCATTTAACTTCAGAAATGTATATTTAATAGTTTTAATAATTTTAATAATTTATTTTTAAAATTTATTTTAATAATTTTTTAATAAAAGAATATCAAGTATAAACCAAAAACTACACACAAACCTTGTGATTTTCAGAGTTGTGTAACCAAATACCACACTTAAACACCATAAAAGAGCATAAAAAAATGAATAAAATCCAAGTATCATAATCTGTATGTTTCGAAAAAACACTTTTAGAAAATGTAGAATTATTTAAGTCGACAGTATATTGTCAGAGTTAATATATTTTGACTGGTAGATGGTCAAATGAGCTTATAGAAATAAATAAACCTTTTAACTTAATATTGAACCAGAAGCAATGAAACATATACCAACAGTCATAACCTAACACTACGTTTCTTGAGATGCTCATGCCACACCCCCTAGCTGTGCCACCCTGGGTGTTGTGTCATAGTGCTTTTAAAACCACCATTGAACTTTTTGGAGCCATTTCTTTCCCCTTGTGTTTCCTGCGAATCTAATTCCTTATAATAGATGAAAATAACCAAACTTTACAGAAAGACCTCCAGTTAAAATATTGCCAAGATGCAAAACTCTCCAGCCCTGACGGGGCCATTTTTAATCCACCGAGGGAACGACGGTGAACTATACGGTATTTTTCACATTTAAAGCAGAGGATAAGACCAGCTCTGGGAGTATAATGTTTCATTTATAACATCAGGAGTTACCAGGGCAACAACCAGCCAGCGTTGCCAGAGAAAAACAAAGTCCTTGTGATGCTTTTTTTTTGTTGTTGTTGTCACATATTCCATATTTCTGGAACAAAGGCAGTCTGTCATAATGAAAAAAATAAAAGTGAGTTGTGGTCTTATGGTTGCCTGTGTTGCCCTGACAGCAGATCTTTGTTTCAGGCCTCAGAGGTACAGATGTTGTATTGGGGTTGTTTAGGACACCCCTCCTCTCCTTCTACTCCACCAGGAATTTAAAAATTGTCCTGCCCTGTAGAGAGGTCCTGTCACGTCTCATAGAGTGTACCCTTTTGAGGAGGCAGCATTACTGGGGCAGGGGATAATATGGAGCTGTCACTGTGGCCTTCTGGGAGGGGCACGCTTCTCTGGGTGGCCTTTCCCTCCCTGCTGCCTCAAGGGGCAGCGAAGAGAGGGTGGGGTTAGTGGAGGCAGAGTGAACGGGATGGTGGGCACCCCCCACTGCCATCTCCATGGTCACGTGAAGGTCGCGTTTTGTAGGGAAACGCCAGAGGGGGTGACGTGAGGAGGGTGGCAAAGCAATGGAGACAAACAGAGGAGTATTAGGTGCACCTGAGGAAGCAGGAGAAAACACTAGGAATATAAAATACTGGAGCTGGACGTGGGCCATCCGAGGGCTCCAGCTCCCGCCTAAAGGGAGGATTCCTCCTTTGTGTCATGTTGAGATAACACCTAAATCTGAAACACAACTTTCACACGTGCACCCTGCATAAAATAAAACCCTGAATCACATAGTTCCAGTCGAGCCACAGCCATAATAACTCTCACTTCTCCTGCTCTTCTGGCGCAGATAGCGGAAACCTATGCCTTTCTGCCCAGAGAGGCGGTGACTCGGTTCCTAATGAGCTGCGGAGAGTGTCAGAAGAGGATGCACATTAACCCCAGCACTGCGGAGTTCAAAGGTAAATACTCACACGTGACCTGCAGAGGCATCATTAAACACAGCTCTGTTTGAAGACCGACCATGTCTGCTTGTTAAGCTCTTATTCTGTTACATGATGGCTTATATTTTATGGTATTATGTTGCAATAAATCATATAACCAGACATCATTTTATGTTTACTCCATCAGGAAACCTTAAAGCTATAAAGTGTAAGTTCTTCATCATCCTGTCAGATATTGAAATGAGCTAAAGTGATATAAGGTGTTTGAATTGCTTCTGAATGGAGCTCCCATTAAAAAACGTGTGTAAATCCATCACTGACATGATGTAACAAAGACTCAAGAGGACTGACTCCCTGGGATTGTGTAAACCCCTGAAACATGATTTTAGAGTCCCTCTAGTGGAAGGAGCGAGGACTGCAGATAGCTACCACTCCATTGTTTCCTTTAATGTGTTTCAAGTTGGCAACAGATGGTCAAATGTTGACCAATTTCAAAATGTGCTATAAAAGGCTAAGTTGAACTGCTGTAAACAGTGACTTGGTCTGTGCTGTGTTAGCTGCTGTGCTGTGGGGTAGCCTCTTTAAACAGCTCTAAGAAAACCAGCTGAAGCAGCCATCAAGAAAAACTGTTCCTCTATTCTCCCATGATGTAAAAATTTTCTACGCTCAACAGCGTGGCGCCTCTGTGGCTGTATTCTTTGTTCTTTTGTTAAATTTAAGAAGTTTCCAGAGTTAAGTGGGTCTGTACGGCCAGCAGATATGTCTTTTTCTTTCTCTTCAGGGGTCCTGATGCTGAAAGTAGTTTTATGGAGTCAGTCTGAAGAAAGCAAATATTTGGGTCCTTTTGAAAATTTAACAGACAGAGTTTTCCTTTATGGGTGTTGTTATTACATTATATATCATGAAAAAAAAAAAAAAACTCCTGAGTTATTCCTAATTCCTAATTTTCTATCAATTAAAGATAACACTCTTTTTTTGGCTGTATTTTAGTCCTTAAATAACAAACATTAGAGTTTGTGGAACATTTACAATCAAACTAAGCCTATATCGTGTATTTTTAACCTAAAAACTAGTTTTGCAGCCCTTGGCAGCAACAATTTTGTTCTCCAATTGATTGCTATAATAGTTATAATTCAGTCGGCTTGGAGGGTTTTTCAATCATTGAAAGGTGTTTTAACGCCTAGTCACTATATCTCAGTTAGATTTACCTCTACAGTTTGACGAGGCTTGAGGTCATATGGCCGGATATTAAGGATATTCTGTTAGAGATAAGAATTTATTGATCTTTCAATTAACTGATATCAGTTCATAAATATGAACTGAAATATTTAATTTAAGATTGGAACACTCTACTTGGACTTTACATCACTATAATTAATTTCACATCTTCGGGATGACGCAGATATAAGATTATAGACACCTTGGGTAGTTTTTATTTCCTAAACGAATACCAGCATCAGTCTAATTATGCAAATATGTCTCCAGTATAAAGTAGTAGCTGTCAGAGAGGAAACATAACCTGAACTAGAGAGCTTCCAGGATCTATAATTTATATCAAGTACAATACATCGGCAGGATGTAAAAGGGGAAAAAAAGCAATATGTTGGAAACAGCAAACGCAAAGCAAAATAAATGAAAGACAAATGGGCAGAAAGAGGAGTAGATATTTATGAATAGAATGAATTTAACTGGAGGAAAAGAAAGTCCATCAACACCTAAAGAGAAGGAAAACAAAGCCTCAGCAGGTTTAAGAGCTATTAAACAGATGTGTGATTCAAAAATGAATCGCAAATGGCCAAGAAACTTTAAATGGTTTCATCCCAATAACATCAAGAGCCTGAAAAAAACCAGCATGTTTCCACAGGCACTCATTTTCATGTCAGGTTAAGCAGTAAGACAGATGTCTATGGAGAGCGATGAGTGCTGCAATACAATAAACAAAATAATAATAAAATAATTAAATGTGTCCTTAATTTATTAAAACTGGAAATAAATACACAATATATTTCATACATATATAAATGATTATATCTGTGATAAATACATCAATATTTTCATAAAGTCATAAAGTGAATATAATTATTTCATAATTTATTTCTAATATATTATGAAATAATTTTATTTACTTAATAAAATAAAATTAATATATTTAATTGAGACTCATGTAATTAGCTATATGTGTTTTAAATAAATTAATGACACACTGAAATAATTATTTCATAAAGTACTTAATTCTAATTACAATTGATTCAGTGGTGTCTTGCAAAGATTTCAGGATGATAATAATCAGGAAAAATAACAATAAAAGTTTGCAAACAAACAGAGCTAAGTTTCACTTTTCTCTCCATGAAGATATTTTAAATAATAATACTAGGTAAAAATATAAAAAACATAAAAAACAATGAAAATAAAGCGTAGAAGTCTGTGCTGGGGTGTCTTGCAGCTAAATATAATTTTTTCCCCAGATATTGATTAAAAAGAGTAAAATAACTGATTGAAGACTTTCCACAGGAAGTGATTCCACTTATATCATAAAACAACAAAGGTGTGCATAGTTGAGCTTTATGTTTATGTTAATATAGAATCCTTTACATGGTTCTTTAAGTAATCATGGACGATATAATCATGTGATTGTGTTTTTCATGTTTTTCCTTGTTAGAAAATGACCGACCCACCTCCCTGGTCCCCGACCTCATTGACTACAACATGCCTCTAACTGCCACCTACCTGAAGCAGATGAAACTGCAGTGCATGACAGCCCCCGAGAGGGTGAGTGCACCTCTCTGTGACATGATGTTTTAACCCAAGCTGTTCTCATTAGACAACACACCAACTATGCAGCAAAATCCATATCTGTGCAAATCCTCAGGTTTATTCTCTTTTAAAGCTGTGAGAGGCAAATATGTTCTGTGCAGGTTAATCAGAGCTTCCTGCCTCCCCAACTTTGAATTTAGCATTAAATAAGGAGAGTGATCCTCCTGCTGGGAGGAGGAGGGATGTGTGAGGAGAGGATTTAGGAAAGCTTTTATGAGAGTGACGTCACAGGTTTAAGACCCCTCCCACATGTCGCCGCTGTGACAGAAACACTCAAGAACTGCTCCCACTGAAGTGCAGGGAAGCAGCACTTGGTCATGATGATGTAGGCCTCAGTCTCCAACAATTAGGATTAAACAGCCAGGACGAGTCAGACTGTGATCTGTGGGTGAGTACAGAGGAACATATTCCCATCACTGCTTCAGTTTTAATAGGACCAGTTTTTAAATAATTAACCTTATAAAGAGGTATGTCAGCATTGCAGGAGACACAGAGGAATAGATTCACTTTCTGTACTGCTCGAGTTTACCTGTTAAAACAGCAACCGGCTCGGATTGCTGCAGCTTTTTGTTTAAAAAAGTAATGTGCATGTTGTTCCTCCAGACTTGGCATGTTCGTGGAGTGAACGGTTTATAGAAAAAGACAAATTGTATAAAATCAATATTGAATTTGTTTGCTCTACACCCACTTAAGATGAGTCTTCATGCTGCACACATTGTGTATGAGTGAGTTTTAGGTTCTGTAACTTTATTTAAAAAATATATGTTTATACTCTGCAGTACAATATCCTCTTTGCTTGACCTATTTGTGATAATGTACATAGAATGCGGTAATCTCAACTCTCCTGCATTAGTTGTATGTTCTTTTAAATCCTAGATGTTAATGTTATTCGGAATCATTGTGATTAGAGACTGTTTTTAATCCTGCATGGCTCACTTAGTGCCTAATAGAGCTGTCAGTGAGCATTCCAGTCCTCCACAAACCCTCCTACAGCAGGATGGACTCGTATTCCCAGGGGTTTGGGCCTATTTGTCTGTTCGTGTGAGGGGAATGAGATGACAACACGTATTTCTGCTCCCTTCTACTCACACACAGGGGTAGCTGCGCTCCCTCTGAGCGAGACGCCAGCTGACACATGACGGAGTAAATGCGGGTCATTTGTAAGCAAACTGGCCTTTTTCCCTGTGTGGAAGCATTTCCTTTTGGTGCGCCCTGTAGGTCTAAAGGTCGGGTTAGTCTTTGAGTTATCTGCACGATTATTTAGCAGTAATTTTATAATCTTTACAGTGTTGTACTCATGTTTTTGTTGCACTACAACAGGCATCTTATGGTTCCTGCGTAAGGGAGTTAAAAATAGCTATGATCCAAGAAACATAGTAAAGAGAGAGACCCAATAGGCCCATCTTTGATCTGCCTAGCAACACAATTAAAAATTTATAAATTTCTGGTCAGCTCAGTAAGAATTAAACAATTTATTTCACCATAATTGACAGTTTATTTTTATTTAAGGGTTTTCTGGAGCATTTATTTAGCAGAACAAGGGAATATGAGGCCAATAAGAGGCTTTTATATCAAACCATCTATCTGCACAAAAGCTTTCAAACCACTCAGGATAATCAAGGCATTGTTTAAGCAAATGATCCCCTCTCAAACAGCCTTTGGATTTGCTCAGATAAAAAGTTTATTGTTTCTCATACTCGTAGTGATCCGGAAAATTATTCTTATCAGTTAAACCTCTGCATATTTTGCAACCACATCAACATTCTGTGTATTTTATTGGAATTTTATGTAATAGAGCAAGACAAAGTCTTTAAGGCAGACAATTCACAACAAATACAGAGTTTTTAAATTAAGAAAACCTCCAACAAATTTGAAACACTCATCTAAATTAATCTAATCTTTCAGTTTTATTTGCAGTACAATTGTCATGATTTAACGCAAGATCAGACCCAAATGCAGAAGACCAAACAGGGAGACTAGGGAAAAGGTTTAACAGGTTTATTTAGGAGGTTGTGAAGAATCCAGTGTTGCTCTGAACACTGCTCAACCGGAACGGAAAGGTGAGGGGAAGACACTGCAGTTAGTTCAGGCTCGGTTGGAAATTAGATTATCGAACTTTAAGAGGAGAAATAAATTGCTGACTCACGTTTCCAGAGAAGTTGTTGACTCTTTGATTTCAGTCTGTGTGCGTTAGTTCCAGTGTTTGTCTGAATCGGTGGAAGACGGACAGGGTTTACCCAGAATGTGATTGTCTGTAGGTGAACGGAGAAGCTGACTGCCACTTAGATTTCCTGCGGTACTTGAACGGGTCGTAGTGGAGATGAATCCCTTGCTCAGTGTGAAGCTCAAACAATCTCTTAAAAAAAGGTGATTCAAGCCTCCAGTTTAAATCCTCAACTCAGCTTGAAGCTCAGATGATCCTTCTAGGGAGAGAAGGTTAGAAAAATCCAGTTTGCAGAATGACTTCCTGCCGAGAGGCAAAGACAAAAACAAGATTAAAACTCAGGTTGACAAGAACTCAGTTTGACTCAGCAAAACTCAGCTTGGCTAGAGTACCCAAAACTGGCAAACAGTCTGGCGTCGATGTAGTGGCAGTCGGCAGCTTAAGAGCGCTCCGTTAACGAGCTAACTCACAGCAGGTGTGTAGAGAGGTGGACCAGAACCAGGCGCCTCCTGGTGGAGGAACGGAGACAAACACAGAAAAAACACATACAAAGACAGGAATCCTGACAACAATGTTTGCATAAAGAAATCTATTACAAAAAAAATATGGTCTTGAAGCTCAAAGTCTGGTCTAGCGAAAAAGGATCTTGATTTTGTAAACAGTTTTCTCAAAGTAATGCAAGGGACACAGAAAAGATGTTTAAGAAGGTGCTCTTAGCAGATTGGACCAATATTGAACTTTCTGGCTACATTTTATTTGCCGTAATTGGAAAAAAAAGTTGTGAACACACCATCCATGCAGTAAAATATGTTTTTTCTTACTGCCAGAAAAGCTAGTTCCAGCAAACAAGAGGCAGAACTCAGTCAACCCTGGAAGATAACTGGTTTTAGTTAGAACTACATTAAAATGTCCCTAATTAAATCATATCCTGGTCTGACCTAAGGTCCTTGTCAAAGTCCAGACCTTAGATCTTTTGGTAACTTAAAAATGTATGCTTACAGACCCTTTGTGAATGTGAATACAATTGAGCTAATCTCACAAATATGAATGGGAAATACTTTGGTTTCTACATTTACAAAGTTAGTAGAGATATACCTCAAAGAAGCTTGTAGCTATAATCACAAGGAGACGTGCTTCTTTAAAGATTTGAGCCAAAGCTAGGCACAGTACACTCTTAAGATTTTTATTTTATGGCTAGTTTAGCATTAATGGTGCTAAACTAGCCATCCAGGAAAAAAAAAAAACTTTTTAAGACATTATATCAGTTAGGGTCCTTTTGCTTATTTGTTCCTGGGTCTGAAATCCTTTCTGTTAAATAATTACCCCTCAGGATGACAGTTCGGTGAGCAGCGAGGAAATGAATAACGCTGAGCCCACTTGGGTTGCAGCTGAACAGCCAGCAGTGCCTGAACCGAGGTCATCCAATGGAGAGCGGGTCAGCAACCCGGCCGCCATTGTCAAAGAGGAGGATGGTAAGACTATGAAGCATTACTCTTGGATGAATGAGGTATTGAAGAAGATGTTTCTAGATTTATTTTATGGCTTTAATTCTATTGGTTTTATTTTAGGTAAGATATTGGTCCCTGTTAGTTTTACAGCCCTGTGACATACCTACTCTCAAACTTCAACTAATAAAACAGCACAAATATTTTAGCCAAAGTTTCTTTAAATGTTCTATGTCAAGCTTTTCAAGCCCTCTAAGGTAAACTATAGGTTAATACATGATGATATATTGCCTTTCACACTATAAAATATTTATTTGTGATGAAATATTAGTCAGGGTGCCATTAATGGTGCCTTTGCTGTGATGCATCTCTCCCCCTAAAAAAACAATGGCTGATCTAGCTCTTATTGTTTAGATTAGTTGCTAAATATAAACACTTTTTCTCAGCTTTTACCAGAAATTATCTCAATATGACTCTCATATCCCCTTGCCAAAAGGGGCAGGCGCGGCGTGGTTAGGATAGGTGTTTCCATGAGGGGGCGGGTAAAACTACTGCTCAAAGAGCAAAATTGAGAGTAGTCATGACTCAAGTACAATGACACTTCAGGCAGGATTTTGATGTAAGAATAGCAATATAACATGGTTGGAAACTAAGAATATATATAACCTTTCATGATGCAGGATCTTGGATTTGGTACAAAATTAACAGATTTGAGCATTTCTGCTTTATATGAATGCTATATTTAATATAGACCTATGTGATCTATCGTTCCTTAGAATAACATTTTTTAAACTGTTTAGATTTAAACGTTTGTTACATTGAAAGGCTCTCAAGAACCACCAAAAATGAAAAATCTAGTTTTAGCTTCGTTAATAAATAAAAAGATCATCTGCAATCAGTCTTAGGTGTAAACGAAAGCTCGGGGCCCAACATGGAACCCTGTGGAACTCCACATTTTCGCTGATTCGAAATTATTACTGAATTGATATATATTTTTCTATAAAATGAATCTTTCCAAATAATTTAGACAATTAGTTTTAAAACACCGTACTTTATAGCAATATTCACTTTTTAAAAAGTAAGGCAAGGCAAGGCAAATTTATTTGTATAGCACAATTCAGTACAAAGACAATGCAAAGTGCTTTACATGATTAAAATACAGGAAGATAAAACAGAATCAAAGCAAGTAGGGAAAAAATAAATAAATAAATAAATAAAATAAAAAATGCAGAAACAAAAAAAGAATATTAAAAACAGCTGGAAGTTTTTGTTAGATTACATTTATGTATTGGATGATTTTAGCAAAGGATCAAGTTAGTTGAATGTGTTTGTGAACCAAAAGTCAACTGTCAGCAGTTAAAATATCTTCATCAAATTTCATCCTACACGAAGTTATTGACAGATTTTTTCATAGTCGGCAAAAATTCTTTATTTTACGCAAATATAAAAAATAGTTACAGAGACTGGAATTTAAAAGTGTTACCTTCACTTATTTTTTTAATATTTATGTTTATCTTTGTTTACATCTGTTCCGATACAAAAAAGTCCTGTACAGTACAAACTGTACAGATTGGTATGCATGGAACAGCTTGCCTGTTTCTTAGTGGACTAATCCAGATAAATCCACTTTTCCAGTGGGTGCAGCCCATGTCCACTGTGCACCCCTTGCTTTCATGGTCAAGATCGTTAAGTGGGACAAAGACCAGATTAGATAAGATTCAGAATGGAGTAAAACAGTTTCACACAAGAATGATTTTGTTTCAACCATTTCCATCTGCAGCATGCACGAATCACGTCAGCTCATTTATCCTATTTAAAAGCAGTTCCTAGACGTAGGACATCAAGCCCCCTCCCTCCCAAAAAAAAAAAAAATGGGTTTCTGGTTATCCTAATTTCTCTCTCTGCTGTTAAACCCTCTTAACATTTTCTTTTTTAACTTTAAATGTTATTATTTTCTGACAGCCTAATGCAGACTTCTTTTATAAATTCAGAATACACAGCATTAAGCAGGAAGTCCCTAGTCTTAGTGTTACCCTCTCCCCACCCCCCATGCTTTTTGTAGTAAACAAGGCTGAATTAATGCTAAAGGATGTCAGAGAACTAACACAGCTCATCGGATGCATCTTCTCCCTCTCTGCCAGATGATGACTCTTCAGAGAGCAGCAGCGCCAACGGGCTGCCAGCCCTGACCTCCCCAGAGGTGCTGGCTGTGGGTGCAAACCCCCCAGATGGAGGCGCTTCCTACGGGGAGGTAGCAGAGAATGGGCTGAGCGCTCCCCTGGACTTCAGCACCACCTCGTCCTCGTCTTCGTCGGAGGATCAGCAGCCGGTTAATCTTAGCGACAGACTGCTGCCGGCCGGGAACTCACCGCCAAACAGCTACGCTGCAGACCCAAACAAGAAGTTCCCCATCAAAACAGAGTTCTCCAACAAGGTCAGCAAATAACAGAGATTTTCATCTACTGCTCTGCTTTATTAGTTGTTAATTTATGATAACAGCATTTTGTGTTTTCTTCAGTCACCCCCTTACAACTCAGGGAGCTATGACTTGGTGAAAACAGAACGGAGCATGAGTGCCGAGGACTTGACCTCTGGTCGGGCGCAGATAATTGACGATGACGACGACGATCACGATGACCATGATGACAACGATAAGATCAATGACGCTGAGGGGATGGACCCTGAGAGACTCAAAGCCTTCAATGTGAGTAACCAGTCAAACGTGACCCCAATAATGGAGAAGTTAACTATCCTGCCCCCACTATGGCAGATCAAGTAACAATAAACCTCTAAGCTAAACAGTTTTGCTGCAAATCCATCCCCTTCAGGATTTTCTGTTAGAGCAGAACAGAAACAGAACCTCATTTGTCTCACTTGTGGAATCAGCTGGATCACGCCCACACCCATCTCTCAGCTTTGCTGATGGAGCAGTCTCAGGCAAAGCTCTGTAGTTCCAGCCTATTCCTTTTCAGATTTTCCTGCATTATTTGCAACAAAATCTGAAAAGGCTGATCAGTCTTGGTTCTGACTCACTTTTTACCAAAGCGTCTTTTTGGTTCTGGTTTATTTAGTCTCTTTTATGTTCTCGGGATTCAGAATTGTTTTCCTTTTCAGACACTAGTGCTTTGATTTTCACTGAAAGCTATAACTATTTATGATTTTTTGTCAAACTCTTCAGACTTTCTAAATGCTGAATGATGTAATTTCTCAATTTTTTGGGGTGAAAAATGAATTTTTCCTTTGAAATAAATGGAAAAAAACCTTGATAAATCTGAGCTTCTAATTTCTAAAACTAAAAGGGTCCAACAAGGGTGATTTATTAAGGGGTTTGATTCAGAGGCAGTTGATGTAGTTAAATGGGCAGACCTAGGTGTTCATGTAGTTTACAGTGAAATGTACTTTTACCTGTGGCTGACATTATATATGTTAATACAAAGATGAGAAAACCAGAACACCTTGCTTTGTGTGCTCTGCTGTATGAGCATACAGAATCCATAGAAAAACCAATGTAACAGTAGAGTTGGAGAAATGCTAATGTTGGGGGAAAGCAAACATGGGAGATTATATCCGCTTTATTTCCTTTTCCTCCTCTCTCTGCCTCCCCCATCTTCCCCGCCTCCTCTTTTCTCTCTTTTGTTTCAACTTGCACCCACAATTCGACCCTGCTCCCCCTCTTTCCATTCTTTCTGCTCTACATCCCCTCTTTCCCCTCCCCCGCGCTTATGGCGTCTGTCAGATGTTTGTGCGTCTGTTTGTGGATGAGAATCTGGACCGCATGGTGCCCATCTCCAAGCAGCCCAAGGAGAAGATCCAGGCCATCATCGAGTCCTGCAGCCGCCAATTCCCAGAGTTCCAGGAGCGCTCCCGTAAGCGCATCCGCACCTACCTCAAATCCTGTCGCCGCATGAAAAAAGGCGGCTTCGAGGTAAAAAAAAACAAAAAAAAAGTTCCACGCTCTGTTAGTTTTTCCATCTGATATTTACACATTTGTCTGAAAAATGTGTTCTCATTATACTGCTGACCCTGTCGGCAGATCCGGCCAACTCCCCCTCACCTCACCTCTGCCATGGCTGAGAATATCCTCGCTGCCGCCTGCGAGAGCGAAACCCGAAATGCTGCCAAGAGGATGCGGCTCGATGTCTACCAACCGACGGTAAATGTCTGGGCAGGCAGTGTGTCTAAATCCACCCAGGATGGATTAGGGAGAATATACTTTTAAATATCACAAAAAATGCACCAAAAAGAAGCTATCCACCAATGAGGCAAAGTATCATGACACCTAAGGAACAAACCAGATGGATTATTTGTTCATCATTACACCTGTTGTTGGGAAGAGTATATTAGACAGCAAGTACATTTCTTGGTATTTTTTTCTGTTACTATCAGGAAAAAAAAATAGCCAGGAATAATAAAGTGAGAAAGTTTGACCTGAGCAAACCTTTGGGACAGAAAGGTGAGACAAAACACAGTAGCTCGTATTTTCTTGGGTATAGATCCAGAGGAGTAAACGACCTGTTAGGAGACCCATGCGTTTTCTTGTTGAGTGAGAAATACACCAACGATTCAAATATAAACTTTAGAACCAGAACACAAGATAATTGATTATGCTGGGCTGATAAATCCATATCAACATCATACAGTATACATAGCCAGGTGCATTGCTTACCTGTCATGCACAATGCACCAGGACGCACAAACAGAGGTAGTAGGCATGCTGGGGGAAGCTTTGTTATGCTTTCTGCCAGTTTCTGCTGGAGGGTTGTTTATCCTGAGCTCCCCAGGGGTGTTACAAACTGGTTGATTTGTATAATGTTCTTGAAAGCTCTGAAAGTCACTTTAAAATGAAATGTATTATTATTGTTATTATTACCTATAGGTCTATAGTGGAGTCCACACCTTGGTGTTCTTTTAAATGTGACTAAATGTAAAGTGTGCTCTTTACCAACCCTGATTCCAAATGTTGGCAGACGTTCTCTAAACTGTGGTTGCAATGTGAACAAGTTCTACACATTTAAAGACACCCCTCATGTGCAAAAAGCCTCACCTTAGCTTTTGGATTTTTGATTTTACTTCCACTACCATCCTGCTCACACCGCAGGGCAGCAAATATATTTAGTAGGTCAACATAGTGATATGCATAAGCGGTGTGTATTGTTCTACTCCTAATAAAAATGCTCATACTCTTCCTAGGATGAGCCCGCCTCCGTTGACAAACCCATCCCGAGGGATCCTGCCCCTGTTGCGCCATCAGGGTTCGCCATAGCCAGTGCGGCTTTTGCCCAAGACCAACTTTACACCAACGGAGGCCTCAACTACAACCTGCGGGGATATGGGACAGTTGGCAGCACCCAGCAGAGCTCTAATGCTGCACAAACCAATGGTGAGTTTGGGTCAGTGAAAACAAAAAATGGCCCAAGAAGTGGGGCAGCAGGTGGAGTAAGTTGTTAAATTAATGAATTGACAGGCTTGTTCTCCTAAATTGTAATGATATATTAGAACTTTTTACTACCTTAAAGTCATTTTTATCAGCTTCCCTCTGCCTCTCCTCTTAAGAATTTTAAACTTTTCCTGATGAAGGAACAATATGAAAGTGACGGCTGCTGCTCTCTGAAACCAGGGAGGCTCAGTGGTGACTGTTCTGACTGAATGATCAGACCTCTCGACTCCTAAAGAAAACTTCCTCGCTTTCGAGCCACTGTCAGTCTAAAATCCTTAAGTATGTTTGCCAATCAGCATATAGCATCCAGAGGTCCTGCTCCAGAAACCCGCTGCCCTAATCCCAAACTGTCCCCTAGCATCAACCATTAACTATCAAGTGTTACCTCCCAAGAAGTCACACTTACAGCTTTGGAGGGCACCTATATTGAAGGTGAAGGGAAAGCAGTCGTTGCTATGGCAACACAGTGACGCCACATGTCCATGGCTGTAGCTCTGTGGCGCAGGTTGATATGGAATCAAACATTCGCCCCTGTCTTAAGTTAATTTAAATATTTAAACTTCCCTTTTGGAATGTTTCTATGTTTATATATATATTTCTGAATGTTTTATCTTTTTCCTACCTTGTGATTTTCAGTCAGTGTGACAAAGACGCACAAAACCAGCCGAACTTAGATATGCGCAGGTGTTTCCTCTGCCATTAGGTCACCTTTTCACTCACTGCAAAATTCCAGCAGACCTGCACTGATGCAGATTTGTTATTTAAGGCTGAACGATCCACTTGCCCACTACCCACTACGGGCTTTAGGATGGCCCTTAATATGTCGGACCCTCCGCGGGAACGTGCAAACAGAGGGTCAATGCTTAGTGTTAGTGTTTAGGGGCTGGTTTGGGATTGTGTTGCTAAGAGGTTTAGCCTCACTGGAAGTGATGTATTTTGCATGTTATCCTATCAAGGCTCTACTTTCTGGCTGCTTACTTCAATAGACCGAGGCTCAAACATCAACAGGGATTTCTCATGGAGGCTGACAGGCAGCTTCCTGCTGCTCTAAAGGGGAGATGGTGTCTGAGTGCTGAATAAACAGCTAATGAACATACTAATGAAATCAGGCACATTTTAGCGCATATTTAATGCAGTTTAATGACATTTATAAAGTTCGGCAATGGATATTTTACCAATAATTTTACGAAACCCCAGTCGGCCTCGGCAGATGGTCGCTCACACTGAGCCTGGTTCTGCTGGAGGTTTCTTCCTGTTAAAAGGGAGTTTTTCCTCTCCACTGTCGCTACAAGCATGCTTAGTGAGAGGGATTGCATTTGAGTCAATGAGTCAATGCAATCAACTGGTTTTCCTTAGATAGAAAACTTTGAATCAATTTGACTAGATGATCTGGTTGAACTGTAAAGTGCCTTGAGATGACATGTGTTGTGATTTGGCGCTATATAAATAAACTGAATTGAATTGAAATTTACTGGGGAGGTTTAGCCTCCCTAGTATTCCATGAGAAATCGCCACTACAATATGAAGGACAAAAAGAAGAAGCTGCATCAACCTGAATAATTTAATGTAAAGTGAGAGGAGAAAATGCAGTTAGGGGAGCGATGGTACAAGTCCTTAAAATCAGACCTGTACTGGGACCCACATACAAGAACTGAAGTCACAACATTATAAAAGGAGCAGTCTAAAAAACATTTTTTTTTTTTACAAACTTTTAAAGCAAATCTTTAATTACATAAAACAATATCTCCTTAAGAATTTGATGGCACATGAACAATTTTCTTTATTTATTGGGTCAGACTTTATTGTCACTGTCTCAACATTTCCATCTAACAAAAAAACTAAATTAGAAAATTTATTTTTCAATGTTTACTTTTATTTTCAACAATCAATACCCTACATGCTAACATACAATTGTAATCATGAGGGTAAAGAAATCTTTAGATCCTCAACTTAATCATGTCTTTATATTAATCTAGATTTCTATCAGTTAGCTTCTTTTAAATTTTAAGATAAATTACAACATGGATAATATTCAAATAACAGAATTTATTTTCTGCTGCTACTCACACATCAAACATATCTCCAGTCTCAATGTTTAATCGGTTTTAAATGATTCAACATAAGAATTTTACATAAAGCTATTAAAAAAAACATGGAACGGGTCAAGAAGCATGCACATAAATGTCAGAACCTAATATTCCCCAGAAGAACGCTCCATTGTGACAAAGTTTTTAATTTAATTTGCCAATGATAAGATGTATGGAGAATAAATCATTATACAGCAGTTTAGACATGTATAGGCACCAAGAAGCCTATTTTTAACGATACATAAAAACAGGATAATCTCCCACTGAATAAATTACCTCAGCTCTGTAAGGGTCAGCTTTGTAGATATTTTATTTAAATGAACTTTATGTTCGTTCAGCCTTGTTTGTTAAAGTTTACTAAAGTTTTTAATTGTTGTTCTGACTTTAGATATGAGCTATTTTGGCTGAATAGCTGCTGTCTTGCTTACATTTCATCTCCTATCATGATTACCTTAGATCTTCCTGCTTTATTGACCTGTTTTGTAATTATTCCAAGTTTTAGTAATAGTGAAAAGAAATGTTTCCAGAAAAATTTATTTCATTTTATTCTTTAACCATTATTCGTCCATTTTTTTTTATTTTATTCCTCTGTTTTTATACCTTAGAAATTGGGCTGAAAATTTTCCTTTATGAAAGAGATAATTTTAAACTTTTTGAAACATTTTCTTTTAACCAGAACTCTTGCTTACGTAGGTATTGCTGAATTTAATGTTCGATAACCTTTTTTGTTATTTCCACAGGTCCCACAGACCTGAGCATGAAGTCCGTCGGCCCAAACTCCTCCTCCTCCACATCCAACAGTCACGGTCAGGGAGGAGGTGGCGGCGGGACCTCCGCCCAGCTCAGCCCTCCGGAGGTGACGGCGGTGAGGCAGCTCATTGCCGGGTACCGGGAGTCTGCGGCCTTCCTGCTCCGCTCTGCAGATGAGCTGGAAAACCTGATTCTGCAGCAGAACTGAGTCCAAGCCAAACCGTGCCAACGCCCTCTCCTCCCCTCAGCCTGTCCTTCTCTGTCGCTCCGTGTTTCACACATTCTGTCAGACTTTCACACACAAAGAGACAAACCCACACGAGTGATACTGCTGTGCATAGTGGGTCATATAGGTATAGTAACTTCACTTGTTCCCACGAGGTTATGTTATGTCGGACAGGCCAAAACATATCACGGGCTGAAACATGATTTATGCATTTGGTTGACCTTAGTGCCCTGCTTTGTGTAGCCATTCATCTCATCAACGTCATCACACCAGTGGAACCTCCTTTGTCTCAGGAAGCGATGATCGGTCACAAAAACCCCCACAAACAAATGATGTGGATTGAAACACAGAGTACGGTGTTGGATTAGTTTAATCCCAACAACAAGAAATTAGTGAATCAGCACCCTTTCCTCTTTCCTGGTTTCAAACCGCTGTAAAGTATGTGTGCGGTGACGTGGTTTAATTGGGTTGTCTGCATTGAGTCTTTTCTAAGTGTAAGAAGGAATTGCTGCTAAAAGAAGTGTCACCCTGTTAACCTCAACAGCTGCTGATTTATATGTATGCCAAAAAATATAAGAACGAAAGAAGAAAAAAAAACAAACACAGCGACAAAAAAGAGATTTGTAAGAATGTCTTTAGCTAGGTGGACTTTATTTTTTAGTTCATTTTTGCGTAAAGGTCTTTGGCAGGCTGTTTAATTGAATTAATTCAAAGGAGGAGAGGGTTTAGTAAATGCAGGTATGCAAATTGAAGTCAGATATAAATGTTAATGGTGTAGAATAGAATTGAAATGATAATTTATTGCCGTAACTGAATTCAAAGTGAAACTCACAAATAGGGTGCTATATTTCAAGTGTTTATTTCTGTTACCCACAAACACCTCTTAAAGCTGTGATCTTGTCTATTTCTCATGCACCTTCGCCTGTCACACGTTTTCCCTCCACTCAACTTTCCTTTTAATATGCTTGGATGCAGTACTGCATAAGATGTAACAATCCATTTTCATAGAAACACAACTCTGGGTTTCTTTAGCTGTAACAATACAACAGACCAGAGGAAACAGGGTTTAATAGAACAAGTTATTTTAAAGGCAAAAACATCACTATCAATATTGCTGCTTTTAGTTTCTCAGCATAATATTATCCACAATCTCCACAAGGAGGGCCAGCCAAAAAATATACTGCTACAGAAGCTGGCTGATCAGAGGCATGTATCAATGTATCTCAATGGAAAGTTTGGCGGAAGGAAAAAGTATGAGAGCAATATTAAGACTAGAATATTGGATAGCTGTAAACCACAATCCTCCGCCTCCAAAGAGGTAAATGCTTGAAATATATTTCTTTGTGAAATAAATTATCTGAGTTTCACTTTTTAACATTCAGCTATCAGAATAAATAATCTTTGCATTGATTCTATTTTTCACTGAGACGCACCTGCACTTGTCAGGGAGAAAAAATATATATAATATAACTCTTATATAATTAGACTCTTGGTTAAGTACCAGTGCAAAAGGTGCAATATTGAATTAATCAGTTGATGTTATTAAAACGAAGGAGTTTTAGGAGGATTGTACTTCACCTCAGCCCCCTCCCGCTCTAACAGTCAAGTTTGTAAAAAGAAGAAATATCTAAAGCAGCATTGTAGCCAATTTCAATGTTGTCATTCGTTGTCAATGCTAACCTCATGACTGAGCCACTATCAGTCATTATTGCTGTGACAGAAAGGACCTGGCAGACAAGACTTGATGTTGCACGTCTTGTTTTAATTTAGCGTGTTTTGTTTTATAAAAGAAGCGATTGCTTCAGATTTTGTTTCTGTTTAAAAAAAAAAAAAAAAAACGGCACACAGAGAGAAGCTCAGACACATCCGTAACTGACAGATGAGCGAATGCAGAGCACACAGTCAGCACACACGCCCCTCTCCTCCCCGCCTGTCCATCTGTCCTGACAACCATTAGCTGTGTCAGACTCTGAATTACGTCCCTGTGTTCTTCGACGTGTCCTGACACATGCTATTTGAGAAGAAGCAAGAGACAATCTCTTAAAAAAAAAAAAAAAAGATGTGATGGCAACAGTTTACTCCCCCGGCTTTCTGCTACGGTGTGTGTTTGTACGGTGTGCACGTTTATGTGTCAGAGCAGGTCTGGAGCACAGTTAAACATCTCCTACTGGTGAGTCACTTGGCACAAAAACAGTTTGTTTGTGTGTGTATGTGGGTGTGCGTGTGTTTTTTTCAGCTGTCTTAATGTTTGCCGTGTTTGTGGAGTGGAAGTGGAGTGACCCAGTTTGTACGACATCAATCTGTGAAGATTTAATACAGTGGGCTGAAACATTCCTAAAGACAATGACTCTTCGAGCGGCCAGAAAGCGGCTTGCACCTTATCGCTTTGTCCGAAGTTAAAAGAGATATATTTCTGCATCTTTCAAACTTTTCACACACCTTTTTTTTTTCATTTGTCTACTGTCCCAAGTTGAGCATGCATGACTTACTGGTTCATTTGTTTTCCTTCTCATGCCCGGGCCAATTAACATTTCCATTTACTTTCTATCATCTATTGCAAGTTTGGAAGCACTTTATAGCTCAGGATTAGGGAAATATAAGGTGGTGATTTCAGTGTCTATACCTCCTTTAAGATCACAGCTTCAGTTCACATGCACGTCTGAAAAATATAGCAAACAAGTCCTTCTTTGTGTGCGTCCTGTCTGAGGGGTGTTTCAAAACGGAGGCTCAAAATTAAACTACATGCAAAATGTCTGGAACACCAGGCAGCTGATTTAAAAATGCATTCAATGTTTAGTTAAACCAATGCGTTAACTAAATATGAGGATATAAATATAATTTATGATCAACACTGCTGGAGCCCATGTCATCTTCTTCCCGAAGTTTTAGAGCTTTTCTTACACGTTTAAGACCTGCAGGTTTACATTTGCCATCCTCAGCATAGGCAGTTACTGAAGAATGTCACTATTTAGCACATGATTTAGCAATTGCTGCTGCTGCAACAGTCCCTCTCAGAGGAGCATGATATATTTGCAAAGCAAGTGGATTCAGCTATGGTGGAAAAAAAAGCTGCTTTAGGGTTTACCCATCTGCACAATAAAAATTATTAAATTATTCACAGAGTATTTAAATCTAACTTTATCTGTACAAAATACATAACCAGTTCCATATTGTCTGCGCCATTGTTTACTAATAGAAACTCATGAAAAGCTAAGTACACCCTGTAACTTAACAGCTTGCATAAACATCTGAAGGAACCTTTCCATCTTTACTTTAATGACCCAGTTTGGCTGAAGCTTCAGCTGGCTTCATTGTACTTTGCAGAGAAGGTCTTCATCTACCTGTTCACAGCAAGTTCTCCAGGAGCTGGGGCTGCTTAAACAAGACCCCACCATCATCCCTCTACCGCCATGCTTTTCAGTTGTTGCGATATACTATATTTGGTGGTCAGCAAACATATTGATGTGCCTTATGGCCAAACATCTCTATCTTGGTCTCATTTGTCTGAATTAATTTTATTTCATGGTTCATTCAGATGCAGCTTTGCAAAAATAATATTTTTTTAAAAAGAAAAGACACTCTCTTGACAAATCTTCCAAATAATCTGTCTTATCAGTTATTCTAGTTGCCATGTCCTCAACTTGTTTAGAATCAGAATTTTTGCTGTTTTTTTTAAGTTTCTCTGAGCTAAATGTGGAGGTCCCCTCCTTAGGTCTGTCTGAAAATGTTTACTAGAAACGTCTTCATATCCTGTCCCTGAAACATTGGCACAAACAATAGCTTTCTCCATTACAGATGTTATTCTGATATCCTGTAGTCAATATCGCACCATAACCGCACACAAACAATAGAGAGTGTTGGCCTAGTGGGTTAGAGCAGTGTGCTTATTCTCTGAGAAGGTTGCAAGTAACTGGTTCGATCCCCACCGCCTCCACTCTGGGTTTCTGTGCTAAACCCTTAACCCCTGATTGCTCCCTGGGTGCTGCACAAAATTTCAAAATGCAGAAAATGAATTTCCCCTATGTGGGATTTATATTAGATTATATAATGCACATCTGCATGGTACAAAACCTATATACTGTAGAGGTAGTAGCAATGATTATGATCAATTAATGAAGTGTGTTCTGATAGAAACACTTGGCTGATAATGTTAAATGTTTATCCGATTTTATAATCTGGTCGTTAAATTCTCCTGCAGTAGAACTGAAAGGTTCCTTCCTCCAGGTGAAGATAATTCGCCTCTTGTATTTTTGCGACACCCCTCAGGACTCACACCGACGTCAACACAGACGATTGCTCACACGTCTTCCACGTCTCCCTTTGTGTTTGTTGCCATAGCAGATCCTCTTTGCGACACCAGGCTGAGGCCCTTCTTTGAAACCAAACATCCGCCTGCAGATCGGTTCTCTGTCCCCGCTGAGCAAACATGCTTAGCTGTGCTGAAGTTACTGTGATCAAGAATGAAGAAAAAAAAACTTGTCATGTTGTTGTTTTGTTATTTTTCCAATGACGCCCAATGACTTTGCTCTTTGTATTGACTTGACAATGTAATCTATTGGTGTTGACTAAAATGCCCTGGTAGCTTGTGGATTGCTAAAGTGGTCAGATAAATGTACTGTATAGCTGTACAAAGAGTGATAAAAGATGTTTTGAACCTTTCTTTTTTCTGTGGGTACAGCACTGTTAAAAAAAAAATCAAAGTGGTTTTAGCCCTTGCCTGTTTTAACTTATCATTTTGTGATGGTCTGTATAACTTCTATTGTTATTTATATTATTTGGGTTGTTGCCTCTCCTGCACTGATAAGAGACTGTAGCTCTGTGCAGGGGTTTGTACTGTAAACCTGTGTGAAGCTTTGTATTTTCCCTCTCTGGTTTTGGACTCAGTGAAAGTGTGATGTTTACATGTACAGTTTTTCAGAATATTTTGCGTTTTCTGTTCGTTTTCATTTTTGCATCCTATTCTTTCCCCCCCCTCCTCTCATCTCTCTCCCCTCCCTGATCTGTGTTCATTCCGTTAGAGATTTTTGCTTTCTGTTGTTTCACTGCAGCGGTTGCAGACGTGACCTCTTTGACT